TTCATCACCTTCCCTGTTGCACTGCCTAGAACAAGACAACACAGCCACCTATAGCCGTCCTGTCCCCACTCCTCCTTCCTACCAATCTCCTACAATCCTCCTACAATTTTCAAAAACGTCTCCAGGCTGCACACCCACCTCTTCTTGTGGGATGTCCACTCCCCACCAACTTCCATTGCCCAATATTGCTTTGTAACTCCTCCCACACACACTCTCAATTGATCTCCCTTATAGCTCCCTTTATGGGAACCTCTAAAGGGAGCACAGGAAAGTGCTGAATGAAGGTTTCCAGCAGAAAGGGATGGGGGCGAGACTCTGGCAAGACTATTAATTCTACGGCTCCCAGATGTAGAAAACCTGCACACTCTCCTAGGTTAGCACCAGAGGAGGCTGGTGGTGACATCTGAAAGCAGACAGGCAAAACTGTGGAAGCTATTTCTAGCAGCAAGTAGAGACCACAGTGTATCAGACTACACTTGATAGTCAAAGCCCATCCTACCCTGGGAATTCTCCACTACATAACACAACATCTCCAACTCAGCCCCCTTTACTGACACGGCAGTTCTGCTGCTTCCCTGTGAATAGCTGATTGGATATGGAATAAACATACTGGTTCCCCACAGAGCCTCTCTCAGCCAGGCTGCTAGAAACAAGCCCCAGAGAGGGATAATTCACCACCAGTGGTGATTCTAGCTCAGTCTGCCAAGCACTTTGACTCGTGGCACAAGACATCACACTCGGGGGGAGGGGGAGTAAAGGAACAAAGCCTACATATCTTCAGGTTAACATGCCTCATGCTCTAGGCTTTCTGCTCTTGTTTGTTAACAGGATAGGGGGAAGCTGGGGTCTGAAATAAGGGATCAGGATATTTATGCCTCACCACCTGGGAGAGGGAGGGAAGGGGAGAGCTGAGAAGTGATCACACATCTGGCAATCCCCTGGGCTGGTCACCTTGTAGTGCTTCAGATTCTGGGATTAGGTTGGGCTGCCAGTTCTCTTGCCCAGAGTTAAATAAGACCTGGAACCCAGCTTCAGCACAATGAGGAAAACATGCATGCATGCACTGCCACTCACAGTGGGGCAGAATGGCAACATGGATGAAGCTGGAAGAATGTTGTGGCAAAAGTAGTCTGAAGAAAGAAGATGCCTCACCGAGAAAGAATCCACCTTCACCCCAACTGCCTGGTGTTTCTTGCCCAAGTTGGTGAGATATTCTTCCAGAGAGGACAAGTTCTCCAAGTGGGTCACAGCAGCATCTATCACAAGCATCACCTGCAGGGGAAACCAGAGAGGACAGAATTAGCAGAGCACATCTGCCGGGAACAAAATTTCAAAACAGCCTTCTCATCATCAGCCATGGGGCCACTCCTAGCCTGTTGTTCTACTCCGAAGGCCTGTTCTGCTCTGCTCCATTTTGCTAAAGAGCTTGGTCAGAACTTCATGGAGCCTGATGAAAACCTGTATTCTGTTAAACACAGCCACAGCCCTCTCCACTTGTGTACGTCATCTCCTTCTTCTGGCAAAGGCAAACCCAAGGGCCAACCGTTTCACCTTAGGAGGCTGTTATCCTACCAGATCTCACAAGCTTAGCAGAACAGCAGGTGGTATGGCAAGTGGTGTGAGTGATTCTGTAAGTGGCACTCTTCTCTCTGTGACACTGAGATGCTGGAAATGTAGTTTATTGGCTGAGACCTGAAGCTGAGGATGTGAAGCTTCCAAGACCCTTTTGGCAAGTGTTGAGGAATCCTAGTCAAATACCAACATGGATCATTACATTCTGCCTCCCTAATTTTCCCCTTTCCATTCAGTAGGATATGGAGTTTTTCTTCATTTTCTGTAACAAACCATCATGGAGCACTGCAACGTGTCGTTAAATAGCTGCAGCATTCCACCCGAGATGACTGCATTTCAGGGCTGAAAGAAGGGATTCTGTTATGCTGCATTAAGCACATTAACCTCCTCCAAGAGGATATATAGATATTTTATTTCCCTATTTCTACCCTCCATGTCTGAGGAGGAGTCACCTGTCCCTGAGGATGGGTAACTGAATGGGATGTGGGATTTCAGGCTCTGCTACTGCAGCAAGAGAACCTTCAGGAGGAGGTCACTGGTGATGCCTGTCCTTTAGGTACAGCAGGAACTTTGTCCATGGCCTCTCATCATCGAAGGTTTTATATCCTACCGTCACGGTGACATGTAAGTGCTTGGACTTTCCTGTTCTGTGTGTAGCTAACAAGAGGACTTTCATTCTCTACTTTGGTCAGTCCTGAGTCATCTAAACAGCGCAGAACCTTCAGGAGGAGGTCACTGGTGATGCCTGTCCTTTAGGTACAGCAGGAACTTTGTCCATGGCCTCTCATCATCGAAGGTTTTATATCCTACCGTCACGGTGACATGTAAGTGCTTGGACTTTCCTGTTCTGTGTGTAGCTAACAAGAGGACTTTCATTCTCTACTTTGGTCAGTCCTGAGTCATCTAAACAGCGCGCGCGCGCACACACACACACGCACACACACACACACACACACACACACTTCAGAATAAGAACCCAGTCCTTTGATTCTCACCAAAGTGACTCAACAACTGTGGGGAGAGCATAAGAACACACAGCACCCAACCATCATTGCAGTACTCAAGAGGATTTGCCCCTGCCAGAACTTCACAAATGTTCGTATCTCAGGGAGTGAGTTGTCTGACATTTCATGACAAATGGACATAAAGAGACCTAGCCCTCCAATGTAGAGCTTGTTACTCAGGGCTTCTCCCTTTTGAGTATTTGCTCTATACTGTGCAACGCTGATCATATTGGCCTCTTCACCCCTTACCTTCCTAATGTGATCCAGGAACTCAGGCGAAGAGAGGCATTCCAGAGGGCTGGAAAACTGTCTGCAATTGTACTGGAAGAGGGGCAACAGGTCAGGGTCCAGATCAAACAACCTGCAACAGAAAGAGAGAAACCCCAGACTTTTCACGCTTCTTATAAAGTGATTCTACCACCATCATCAAGAGGATAACCCCCTTTGCCAATCCATTCACCAGACTCCACCAGCACCCAGAAGGTGACTGGACCTCATTATCAATTAAGTGATGAAAGAAAGATAAATAATTTGGGATAGCTCGGTGAGCTCTGGCTACAAAAAAGCCTCTGTTTTTGGTGGCTTTATGGGTCCCTAGCATTAGCTCTGGGCCTTGCTAGAATGCATCCTTAGCCTGACCTCTTTCTTGGCTGAATTCCTTATTCCTGCTTGTTTATCATCTCAACTCTTGCAATTCCCGATTTTATAAATTTCCTGATTTCTGACTTCACCAATTTCAGGAAGACCCAGAATGCTCCAGCCAGATATCTTAAACAGAATTGTATAAAGCTGTATCTTGCAGACCATCACTGGCTTCCAATTCAAGATCCTTCCACCAACTTTTTCTGCTTAGGCTTATGGTCTCCTGTAACTCAAGACTGGTGCAAGCAGCAAGAGGTCAGGAAATGCAATAGCTGGATGACATCCCTGATCCTCTCTGTTGTATGGCACTTCAGAGACAATCACACAATGACGGATTTCCTTTCTCCCTAATTTCCGACAATCAACCTCAGCTACTTTACATTTGGCTGCAACATTCTCCTCTTTCACAAAACTTACAAACATTCCCTTAGATAGCTTCGCTCTTCAGTTCTGTTGGGCAGTGTTTTTCCCCCCAGAGGCAACACTCCATTCTGCACAGGCTGTGAAGAAGCTGGGAGCTGGTCACCAACTTTTTAGATCCATGGTTTTAAAAAGGACTTTTCAGGCACCTTTCTATCTCCCTCCATTGCTCTCTTGTCCCTAACTGAAGGGCTCATTTGCTTAGAAAAGGCAGTGAGTTGGATCTCCCATGTACTTTTTCCTCTGATCCTGGAATTATTTGAACCCCACTCTAGTGGCCAGGTCCCTGTCTGTGTCTGGAGACTGCAATGTCACAAATAATTAGGAAGCCACTTAGAGGCACTCCACAGAGCTGAGCATATACACAAGGAGCAGAAAGCTCTTTGAACAACAGAAATATCTGTTCTGCTAACAAATTAGGCATAATTGCAAAGGTATTCAAAAATACAGACTTCTACACTTACACACTCTCCCTGCTTTCCTTTTAACAAACTTCAAGATTTACATGCTAACAAGCTTCTTCATAATCCTGTTCTCTTCAGGCTGCAAATCATAACAAATGGACAGAAGGAGCAATAAGATAAAGCCAGAAAAAATAAGTCATTGCCAAGGAGAAGAAAGTGTTTCTTTAACACGGATTGGGAAGCTCCCCCTGCTTAAATTGGGGGTGGTGATCAGGGAGAAAGGAACGTGCCCCAGCTGCTTCCCCTCCATAGCTGAATGAGTTACCCTTCTATAGATGCCTCCTGTTGCTATAACAGCCTGTTACTCACCTGGTAAACAAGACGATGCCATGCTGCAGGAGATTGCTACTCACTTTCTGCCAGCTCTCCCGGATCAGTGCCTTTTCTGTGCTGGATAATCTTCCACTCTCCATTTTATTGTAGAAAGAGAGAGGTTAACACAGCCAGACAAACCTTATGCTTCCTCTGAAAGTAACTGCACTACTTACTCTGCACTCTGAGTTACAGGTGGCATGAATCTCCTATTAGTCCAAGTATCTAGGGCTACCAGTGCCCCTGGAGCTGGGATGCACACACACCATTTACCTCCTAAGTGCCAAGGCTGCTCTTTCCTGCACAGCGCACAAGACTTTGTGATCACATCTCGGATCTCCAAGTAGAGCAAGAACTCTTCTCCTTTCTGCCCTGCCACCTGCAGCCTGGAAGCAGCACAGGTGGGTTTAGAAAAAGCCTCTCTCAGCAATTAGACGAAACCTGAGTGCCGTGGGGAAGATCCATGTTGTTCCCTAGTGTCTACAAAAATGAAGGACTCACTGTTGCTTTCTAATTGCCCCCCTGCTGCTTGGTTCAGGCACCTTTCTCTGTGTCTCCCTCTCAGTCTCTTTGTGAAGGGTGAGAACTGTGCTCCTGTCACACACCATCAGATGCAAGGATCTGGAGCTGAAGCTAGCTCCTTTCCCTTTATCAACGGCACTTTCCCAGCTGGCTGTCTGGCAGAGAAGCTCTCAGTAGCAATACTTTCTCTAATTGCCCCCCTGCTGCTTGGTTCAGGCACCTTTCTCTGTGTCTCCCTCTCAGTCTCTTTGTGAAGGGTGAGAACTGTGCTCCTGTCACACACCATCAGATGCAAGGATCTGGAGCTGAAGCTAGCTCCTTTCCCTTTATCAACGGCACTTTCCCAGCTGGCTGTCTGGCAGAGAAGCTCTCAGTAGCAATACTTTCCCCGAT